CTGGAATCCCGGGCGGGGAATGTCCCGGACCCGCAGCCGGCACCTTCCCGGGACATGTGGGTGCGGGCCCCGGGGTGCGCCTGGGGGTACATTTATGCAGGGCTTGGGGGATGAGTGAGGGCGCAGTCTGGAGGCCTGAGTCACAGTGTTAAAACTTTGCTGTAGAGTGAGCAGAGATGGCATTTTCTGTCAGGTACTGCTGTGGTCTTGTGGGCCAATTTTATTAGTAAAAGCACACCCAGGATTATGGGCTATGGCAGATCCTCTGCAGTTACCTAATGGTTTGAGGGTTTTTTTTGTTTATATTTCTGCAGAATGTTTTTTAAAGATAATATGAGTAAGGTTTCACAGTATATTTCAGTTGGCAGAAGAAAAAGTAATTGAAATATTCAAAACGTTATCTTCAGTTATAATATCTAATTGTAACACTATGCTCAGTGTAATAGAAATATCGAGCAGGCTGCCTGTAAATAATTTCTCTAACTCTTGTTTTGAGGTGTGTTTAACAAACAAAAGCTATCTCCTGTTGAAGGTGATCTGTGCCAAGTGTTGTCTTGGGAAAATCACTAAAGGTATTCACTTAGAATCAAAAACGTGATCCTAATTTTTTTTAATGTATTTTCTTTATTTTCCTACTTCAGGTCCTGGGATTTTGACTCAATCTCTGCTTGATGCAGGTTTTAGAGTGGTAGCTCTGGAAAGTAACTCAGATTTTCTTACAGACTTACAGGTATACTTTTGATTCAGTTACATATGTCTAAAACAAAATTAAAGGGAAAATGAGAGCTTAAATTGTTGTGTAATTGTTGGATCAAAAAGGAATTGGACAGTGGTTGTTACTTGCAACATCTGACATAATGCCTAATAACAAACAGTATATAGTTTGGCATTGTACATCATAAACACAGAATGTTTTTAAATTAATTTGGCATTTTGTGCATGTAGGAATTTAAGTTCATACACAGTCTTTCTATGCATAAATGAAATTTCATACATAAATTTGAAATTGATTGGAGTCATTGTAGATGTTTATGTTTAAGCAAGACTTCTGTATGAAGCTGTAAAAAGTCTGTAAAAATATTCTTAGTTATTCTGATTATCTCACAGTTTTATTGAATCTGTTTTCCTACAATTGAGACATGTGTTGTCCTCTGCTGCTCACCTGGGCTCTGCATGGATTCAGAGGGGGTCAGACACAGAGCTGCAGAAGTTGCTCTAGAAGGTTTGCAGTACAGTGCTGGTTTGGAATCCATGACTCTCACCTGATTTAAAATGTATATAAAAGGTATCCTCTCCACAGATATGAAGAATTCAAATTTCAAATTGTTAAAAGGAGTGATTTCCTTCGTTTAATAGTTTGTGTGGTTTTTTAAAAACATTGCAACACATCTTACAAATTTAAGAATGTGGTTTAAAGCTCAAGTTGAACAGCACAAAAAATGTCAAAATGCCTTTCCCAGTGAAGGGGGCAATTATTTTTATGTGCTGAAAGAAAGAAGCTGTTCTTTTTGTCATCTGTAAGAAGCAGCTCTGAGGTTTGACTCCTGTTGACTGGGTAACAATTTTAGGTAGTGCTTGAATGCATTTTTTGTTTGGGTTGGGTGTTTTGCAAAACCAGTTACCGTATCCATATTTCTTCAACTAAAGTTATTTTTATTCAGTCCCTAGAGAGTAGCCTGGATGGGCGGTTAAAGGTGATTCATGGTGACTTCTTCAGAATGGATCCTATGGCGAAGGGAGCTTTGAAACCACCTGCTGTGTCTTCTGAAAAACTTTTTAAAACCCTGGGTGTAGCAGCAGTTCCTTGGAGGGCAGGTATATGTTTATGATCCCACATGTTACAAAGTGTGTTTGGGGGTGCATAGGCACCAAAAACTTTGGGATTTGCTTGAGATATATGTTTTCTTTAATACACATTCTGGATTATTAGATGCTGTTTTCTGTATTTCAGCTTTGCTTAAGAATCATGATAGCTTCAGAGCCACCCCTCCCACCCCATGGCAATATCAGATCATTTTCTTGTAATTTAAAGTTTTTGTCTAATGCAAACTGGGCTTAGCTTTGACTAAGCTTTTGACTAAGGCTTGAACTGTATTCATTCTTGAACAACATGAATTCATAGGTGTTCTTCTCTTAGTTTTTGTAGTTTAGACATTAGAGTTAATGAGATTGTCTAATACATACTGCAAAATTTTAAAGATAGTTTTGCTATTGTGGGAAACAGATGTACCTTTGAAAGTTTTTGGAATCGTGCCACAACAGTTGGAAAGAAACAGACTTTGGAGACTTCTTTTTGCCATGTATGAATGCAGTTCCATATACAGATACGGGAGAGTGGAACTCAACCTCTTCATAAGTGAAAAAGAGTATACGGTATGTGCAAGGCATTTTACAGGTAATGAAGGTGTGATGCTTCACAGAACACAAACCCATTTATATTGTGTACTGAATGTTTTTGCTAGTGAATTTCTTTTCTACCAGAATTTTTAAGTATTGTCAGTTTCCTACTTGTTTGCTTTATGCTGTGATAGCACTATTAAGAAACATCCTGTTGTCATTTAACTGCAGATCTTAAAACTGTGGAGACTGGTCCTTGAGAAGTATATGCAGCAGCAGCATAGCTGCTTTCCATTGTAAATTGTGAGGTGATTAAATTCTGTGCCATGCTTTCGCAAAAAGCTTGTTTACTAGTTGCAGGCAGTAGTTAACGAAGACGGAATTCAAAACACAAAAACACAAATAAAGTCACTAAATACCAATACAGTGAGATGCACTTTTCCTCTTGAGTTGTTTTGTATGCAGTACTGAAAGTAATATAGGCAATATATAATGATTTACACTCCTTTTTATTAAAGCTCTGTCAACTAAGGTGTAGAGCCTTTTCTGGATTGCATATTCCTAATTAATGCTGTGCAAAGGCTCTAGAACAGTACTTATACTTCAAGGATGACATCTTTTTCTCTCCCCCCCCTTGCCACCATGAGACTGGGAGGTTTCTACAGAGTCATAAACCTTTAATTACTTGAAGTAGACAAGGACTTCCAGGTCCTTGTCCTTCCACAACCAGTGTTGTATCTAACGCCCCATTGAAAAAAATGTCTCAAGTATATTCTTCTGTGAAATGACAGTTTGGAGACCACTGAAATACCCACTTGTATGGTATGTTTTAATGGTCAGATGTTTTACTAAATACAGGGCAGCCTATTCATTTAAGCTAGTCCCTGTTTCTTTTTTTTTTTAATTAACTTTTCTGGTTATAATGTGAACTCTGTTACATAAGAGGTGTGTAGTAAAAGCTATTGGAACCTTCTTTAACTAGACATTGTTTACTCCTTTTTGCTGGTTGTTCTTGTTTTTCATTATATGACAAGGCTGTGTTAATCTACTACACAAAGTTAAATCTCCCTGCTACAATTTATTTCTTTCCTTGCCCTTTTTGAGAATAATCACAAGCTTTTCTTTTTTCCTTGCCCTGATAGTTGTTTGATTTGTAACATTGATCAGGATGATGACTCTGCAAGTTGCTTAATGTTCAGTGTGGTCACCTGATGTTTCACTTACTCTGCTTTGTGTGTCTTCTTGGGAATTTTATCTTATCAGTGCAAACTGATAACTCTGCCAAAGTTACAGTTTTCATATGACATCTTATCTTTATTTCTCTTCTGTGTGAAACTTCTCTGCCTTAAAAGGAACCAGAAAGATTATGCTGGAGAGTCATACATAGTTCAGTTATCCAAATAACTGCTGTGAAAAAATACTTCAAATATTACATCTTCTAGCCCTGTCTTCTGACAAGATCTATTAAAATAGCACAAAGCACGTATTAGAGGCCTAATGTAACTTCACCTTGGAATTTTCGACTTAACTGAATTTCTTACTCTTTTATATATATGTGTGGATTTTGCTTAGATAAGACAGTCTTAGTTCTTGCAATAAAAATGCTTGTTCTTTGCCATTTTTTTAGGTATTAACAGCAAAGCCTGGGAAGTCAAAGATTTATCAAGCACTTACTGTACTTGCACAACTAGGGTATGAGATTGAACTACTGCATAAGGTAAGAGTTTTGTACCAGCTGATAAGGCCTAAAGCTAAGTATGGACATGCATTTACAAAAGGGTTTATAGTGGTTTACTATTGCAAACTAATTGGAAGCTAATTTGATGTTTAAATGAGTTGGAGAACTGTTGAAAACTTTTGTAAAAAGCTAAACCAGTCATGTTTTGTGTAAAACTCTTTCAATTAAGCAACATTGTCATTCACTATGATATCAGTGTTTTCACTGCAAGCCATTGTATTCAAAAACATTTATTCTCAGATTCTAGTAGATAAAAAAAGATGTTTTCACACCAGATAAACCTCTTCCATTTTGCTAATGGTTGTGTGAAACTAGAATTCTGTTTTTTCCAATTTGTCATAGTCTGCTCTTTGTTATATCCTCCGAATTTCGCCATCATATATGCTTTTGACTTCCTAAGCTGTGTTCAGTAGAAATTTTTTTGAGTCTTGGTCCTTTAATGTTCCAAGCATACCTGCTTCTCCTACTAGTCAGTGCCTTCTTCCCTTGTGAAACATGCTGTGGTTTAGTTTTAAAAGTTTTTTTTTATGTGGTCCCCCCAGTTCCCCATGCGCACATGGCCATCAACTTTCAGTTAGTTAATGCTTTTCAGATTTATCTTTGTGCTCCATTTTTCTAGGAACCTACTGTCCTAGTTTAAATGTTTTGCTAATCTAAAATAAGGTTTCACTGCCCATTGTCTTCCAAATACCTTATACTACAAGGTATACATGAAGGTAAATATTAAGAAGTTGAAGAATAGTACTTTTTGAAGGAGGTCACCTGACTAACAGGGATAAGGTAGAAGTGGAAGCATTTGATGTCTCTTTTTTGTCAGTCTTTAATAATACTGACAAGCCTTGGGCTGCCTGGACCCCTGAGCAAAAGGACCATGAGTGTGGGAACTGTGACTTTCCATTTGTGGAGGCTGAAACTGTAAGGGACCAGCTGTATCAGCTGAATGTTCTCAGGTCCTTGGGGCCTGGTGGAATTCACCCCAGAGTGCTGAGGACCTCTCCTGATCAGGTATCAAAGGTCTTGGGAGGCTGGGGAGGTCCTGACTGAAGCAGGCCAGTGTTATTCCACATCCTCCTACAAAGAACAACATGAGGGAAGACCCAGTGAACTACAGACTTGTTTGTCAAACCTCAGCACCTGCAACCATTCTGGAGTACCAGAGTCTGCTGGGTACTGCTGAAAGGCATTTGAAGAATAATGCACTCATCAGGCACAGTTAATATGGGTTCACAAGGGAAAGTCTTGTTTAACCCATTTGACACCCTCCTATGATAAGTCCTTATCCTATGATAAGGTCACCTGCCCAGTGGATGAAGGGAAAAGGGTGGATGCAATTTTTCTGGATTCTAGGAAGTCTTTTGATACTGCCCCTCACAGCACCTTTCTGGAGAAGCTGTCCAGCTATGGGATGAGCAGGTTCAGGGTGCACTGGGTGGAGAACTGAGGGCAGAGCTCACAGGGCTGATTTGGGCTACACCTGGCTGGCCACTGCTCACCTGGGGCTGCTGCTGGCAGCAGCTCAGTGTGAGCCAGCAGGGTGTGCCCTGGCAGCCAGGAGGGCAAACTGCACCCTGGGGTGCCTCAAACAGCACCATCAGCTGGGCAAGAAAGCTGATTGTCCACTGAGTTCAGCGTTGGTGCAGCCTCACCTTAAACATCTGGGCAGTTCTGGGCCCCACAATTTAAGAAGGATGTGAGAGTCCTTGAGTGCATCCAGAGGACAGCAACAAAACCAGTGAAAGGACCAGAAGGAATGTCCCATGAGGAGCAATTGAGGGCTTTGGGCTTGTCCTGTTTGGAGCGAAGGAGGCTGAGGGGTGACCTCACTGCTCTCCACAGCTTCCTGAGGAGGGGAAGGGGAGAGGGAGGTGCTGAGCTCTTCTCCCTGGTATCCACTGACAGGATACATGGAAATGGTTCAAAGCTGTGCCAGGGGAGGTTTAGACTTGGCATTAGCAAGTGCTTCTTTAGGGAGAGGATGGTTTAACACTGTAACAGGCTTCCCAGAGAGGTGGTCAATGCCCCAAGCCTGTCAGCATTTAAGAGAACATTTGGACAATGCCCTTTATAAAATTCTTTAGCCTGGCCAGCCTTGAATTGCTCAGACAATTGGCGTAGATAATCACTGTAGGTACCTTCCAACTGAAATAGTCTATACCAGTCTAACAAAACACTGTAATTCCATAGTACATAATACATTTGCTTCCTCCCATAGGAACCTTGGTCTTCATTTGCAACCAATTTGAAAAATGGGGGACTGGCCATACCAAAAGCTGGGGTAAGATTGTTGTATATGTTTTTCTAAACTAGTTTTAATGAAAGGTTAAAGTAACTTTATAGCAGCATTTACAGATGTGTTTTTAAAGAATTGTTCTAATTAAAATTTAGGGCAGCATAGAGATTCATCAAAAGTGGAGTGAAGAATTGCTATTTTCTTGGAAACTGAAATAAACTAGTATCTTTATTGTCCGAGATGGAAAAAATATAGTGAGTAAACAGCATAAAGGAATATGAATAGGTAAAGTATTTTTCAGAGAAGGTTACTGATGGTCACATCTACTTGCTTGAACAAAACAAGTGTTACCACAGTCAATAACACAATCAGTATGCTGCTGGTTTTGGTTAAAATAGTTATTCACATGTCTATTATGAATTTCATGTGCAAGTTAATTGTAGAAAAGCACCAGTCTCCAAATTTAAATTTGAGAAGTGCAAAACTACTTTGTGTGAAGTTACTTACTTCTCTCCTTTGGAAAAGTAATGATGATCCTTTGTATAATAAAGGAATATTCCTATTTAATTCAGATAATATGAAAGCATGTTTACTTAATATTTTTGAGTTTCACACTCCCCAGAAAACTGCTGTGGTGCTGAATTGAGTGTAGTTTGCAATACTTCTGTACTATATAAGTGACTGGATGTGCCTTAGATGCTTAGTTGTGTTGCTGACTAGCCATGTGGAGAGGCCCATAAGGTGAGCTATCTAAGATGTACCAGGACAACTTCAGAAGTACAGGTGTCAGATCTAATATATCCGTTGCTGCCAATACAGAAATACATTTATTTCCCTTGAAGACTCCACTTTGTCCCAGTTTTGTGAAATCCTCATGTTGCAATAGTGTCTTAGTGTACACTCTGATAATTCCGTCTTTATATATAAAAGGCAGGTCTGATACCTTGCATAGTATGGGAATACAATAGTTTGCAGGTCTGATACCTTGCATAGTATGGGAATACAATAGTTTGCAAAATCACACCAAGCCTGTTTTGTTCATTTCAACTAAGAAAGTCCAGTTTAAAAATACAGAAATAAACCCCAAGTGATAGTATGTTCCTTTTGTTTTCTGTTTCCTTTTCTCTTTGAGGCACAGGGAGGTGAAGCCTCATCTTCCGATGAAGTCATCTTGTTAAGACTTTTAATAAGAAATGTTACTGGTGGCAAAGATGAAACTCTTGGCTTAAGATAGATACTGTCTAAAACAGTGATTTTTTCAGTGACTTGCTCTGTTTTTCTTGCAGCGGCTGCCAAATGACCATTTCTGTTTGGTACGACTGACTCCTCAGCAAAATCTATTTACAGGAGGCTTGAAGCCCTCAAATGCATCTACCTTTATTTTCATGGTGAAACAGTCCTTTGCTAAACCTAAGTCTAAACTTACTGATAGATTAAAGTAAGTAAGAAAGAATTACAATTTTTATACTTCAAAGAAATATATGAAAATATTAGAATATTTCCCAAAGCAATGTTTATTTGCAGATGAAATACTACCTTATAAAAAAAACTTCATTAATTAATTTTTAATTATCAACATGTAGAATAGAAGATTTTATTATGCAACCTGCTATACAGTATTTTGGGGACTGTTCCTGTCAGGAAGGTTGGAAAGCATTTAGAATATATATGTGCAGTAATTCCTCTACCTCCAATGGAGCTTAGGTCATGTATCTGTAAGAAGTTTTCACTTACTTTACAGATACAATAATACAGCCACCAAGAGTTTTGCAGGTACAGAAATTAAAAGCTGAAAGAGATTCAGCTTACAACAGACATCAAAGTTACACTAATGAAAACAGCTGAAGGTTATAGAAGGTGGAATGGGGATGTCCTCAAATGACTGTTATCTAATTAAAAAATTAGGTTTTAGACTTTACCAATTATGCAAGCTATTCATGTTTCTTTATGATCAGTAGGTTTCTGTTTCCCACAAATGAAAGATGTTCAGAGTCTGGAAAACATTGACTTCTTGCTGATGAAAATAATGAATATACTTCTGATTTGCTGATAGTAGGTTATGGAAGGTAATTTCCAGAAAGGGGGAAAAAATAAGCTACTAAATTCCAGTAGCTGTCTTAGAAAGACAAGTGGAAAGAGCCTTAATGGATTTCTTTCTTAAAGCTCAGTGATATACCTCATCTCCACTTGATCCTTCAGCCAGGAAGTTGAAGGCTTCTAATATGCATCTTCTGTGTATTTATACACTTCTTTCCTGTCTGAGAAATAGTTAATGTATGTGCACATTTATAAAAGTATAGCTTTCATAGCAAAGATGTAGATGGGAGGGAGGGTGGATACATTTGTTTAGGTGTAGAAGAAAATACCTGGGAGGTGTAAGTCACTGGTTCATGTTATACTGAGTCATCCTTGGCTTTAATTTCTCCAGCATGGAAGCACCCTTTTTAGGCTGTAATGCCTGTTACTGACTTATGAATTTAGGGTGGATGGGGGAGAGAGAGCGCCCATCCTGTAATGAGGTTTGTGTGGTCTGGTATTGTCTGTGTGTGCTGGGAGCTTTATTTGCTATTGATGTGTTTTAATAGCAGAGGCTTCTTCCTGTTTGCAGCATGGATTGAAAGTGTGTTGCAAGAAGAGGTTAGCTTCTTCTAGAGGCTATGAAAGAGTCAAGTGGGCCTTCAGATAATGTTTCTTGCTTTTTAATTTTTCACGGAAAGAAATGCTCCATTATGATTTTGTTTGTTTGTTTCAGTTCCTGGAGCTTGGACAATAGTGACAGATTACTGAAAGCACTAGAAATTCCCAGAAATGCTTCAATGTATAACTTGTATCCAGAAGACTATAAGCGTCTTTTTGAGGCTTTGCAAAACTCTCATTTGTTTGCTGAGACCTTCTTCCATGATGAAGTCTTGACAAGTACAAGGACCATGAACTTATTAATCTAAAGCTTTTGGAAGATCACTTTTGCTTCTGGAAGATTACTTTGATAAAAAGTGATTTAAATAAAATCGGAGATACTGTTAGCTAGATGACTTCCTGTCCAAACAGGAAAAATTTAGCAATTAACAAGAGCCCTTCTACTTAGGATGAAAGTAAAGAATTCACAGTTATCTTCCACAATCCTATCTGGAATGGACAAGCCTGCACACAATCCTATCTGCAATGGACAAGCTTTGCAACTTTTGCAGGAGCTTATTAGCTCATGCTACTTTTGGATGTACCACTTAAATGCAATGTTTTGTTACACTGTTGCTGTGTATTCACAACATTTGAAAAAAATTACCTGACCAAATTATTATTTGTTTGGTTTTTATTTTAATGCTTAATTATTTGGATGCCCTTTTGACAGATTCACAGAATACAAAGGTTTTTACAACCACTGAGCCTGCAACATTGTCTGCTTTTCTGAATTTGCAGCCTAAAGTCAATAAATGCTAATAAATGAATAGTGGTATGTTAATACAAGACAAGGTAATGACAGAGTGATAAAATATTAACTGGGAGTTGCTTCAAATAAAGATTGTGATCTCCCTGAGGAAAAGTTGTAACAGTTATTTCTTTTGAAAATACGAGGGGCAACACATTTGTAATATAATACACAAACACCTACATGTGTATGGGGATTATTTAGGTCTGAAAGTCATCAGAATATTCAGTATAAATGATTTTTAAAAAAATAAAATCCTTTGATTTGAAACCTTTGCCAATATTTTTAACGTGTAATACATGTACCAAAAAATTATTCAAAACCATATGCTATTAAAATTCTGGTTTTAGCTATAGTACTCTGTAAGGCAATCAATTTCTCAAAGCTGAGAGGTGGTACTGGTTCTGTGTTGTATATTGTACCCTCTGGAAAGAGCTGTGGCAAAAAATACATTTCTTTAGCAAAGCACTAGTTTATAAAATGCCATCTTGGTGAAGGCTGAGCTATTTTCAGGCTGTGGGTAACAGTAGTGCCCCAAACAATGCAAAGGGAATTGTATTTATTAAGGTTAGTGTGAGGTATAGATGTGATAAGCATTCATGTGGCTGCAGATGACAAAGTGACTTTGAGAGCCTCAGTTCACTCTGCTAGCTAGGCTGCAGCTTCCTCTTGAGGCTGCTGCTGAGCTTTTGTAGTACTGTGATGAAACTCCTGGAAAGGCTGAGGCTAGGCTTAATTTGCAGTCTGTATCAGAGCCTTGCTGGTGTTCTGGTGCAGGTTGTCAAGATTTGAGGCTTCCTTTCTGCTTACATCTCTGACTATTTCAGAGATAGTCATTGTTAATTGTCAGTGAACGGCAACCTTGCATTTACAGAAGCAATTCCACCTTTTCCAGTCTCATCAGATGGTAACTCTCTTATCTACTGGTCTACAAGACTGCTGTGTCTCTTGGGCTGATTCCCCCTCCCCACCTTGAACCAAAACACCTTGCTCTTGTTGCAGCAAGATGTCTTACACTTCCAACATACCGGGAGAAGTATTCTATACATGAAATGTAAGACCACCAATGTCTCAATAAATTTCTTCAACTGTGTGCTGATAACATTTCAAACATGAACTGAGAAAAAGAAATTTGTTTTATTTTGATGCTGTTGCAAAGCAGCACTTAATGATCCAATGCAGAGACTAACAGCAGGAGTCTGTAAGTGGAAGGAATATTGCATAACTGGGGACTTGAAATGAGATTTACTACTCAACAGAAATGCACCATTAAGGCTAAGTGTAAGGAATGTTTAGTCCTGATCACAAATGTGAAATGGAGAGAGAAATGCCTGCCATTATAAAAGTGATTTTAGTATTAATGGAAAAAATTGAAAATGTGAAAATGACTATTGTATATGAATAAATACACAGGGAGTGAAAACTAAATAAGTCTATATATTTGATTAATTTATGCTTTCCACTCAGTAATTCCTACGGTTGCAGGATTTTAGCTCTTGTAAGATAATGTTGAACTTTCACTTCACTTTCAAAATTTAAACTGTACATAAAGACTTGTAATACATTTCTGTTACCATTTTTTGTAGGGGGGTAGAATATAAGAAAACAAAGATAGTGTACAAAGTAATCTAACCCCTAAGGAATTGCAGCTGGGCCAATTATCAAAGATTAGGAACAAGCCTGACTTTACCAGGCCATAGCTGTAAGCAATGAGAAGAAGAGTGCTACAAAAGAGTGGGGTGGCTGGGTGAGAAGGAACTGGAGTCAGTTGGCTGTTTTGCGAAAAAGAAAAGCAGTGCTTGGAGGAGCAGCTCAAGAGAAAATACTAAGAAGGTATGAAACTTGTGATGAGGAGACAACAGTATGGAAGCCCTGTAATCAGATGACAACAGTTTTCAACCAATGCTGTGCTATTTGTATTTGTTTCCTTTGCATAACTTTTTTTTTTCTTCAAGACTGATTTAATACATGAACCTCTGAAAGATGAACCACATGTGATGCATTATCTAGTAGAACACTTTTAAGTGTTGCTCTCTTCCAATTTTTTTGAGGAGCTGCCCAAAAAATGGTGTTTGGCGTTCCGTATTAAAGTTACAATCAATATATCATAGCTGATATATTGATTGTAACTTTAGAGATGCCAAGTCTTTTCTAGTGGCCCTCATCATTTGTGCCATATGTCTGGGAAATAAAATTATGACTGTGCTAGGAATTGCCTAAGCTCTTCCTACTTAACTATATTCAAATCATAACAAACACAAATAGAGACAGAAACCAACTTGGTCCAGTTAATGAGAAATTTTGCACTTGGAAATAGGTCAGTTAAGTTGAACTCCATAGTCAGTTCACTTTTGATCTAGAAGAAGCGTTTGTGACCTTGCAGTAATTAATCCAGTAGATGCTGTGATAAGGGGTTGTTAAGGTGGAATGTGTCTGTACTGGCTGTAAACCTGTTCAGCATTGCACATTTTAATAATTATAGCTTAGCCTTGCAGGCTAATGATAATGTTGATGGAAATATCAGCATAAAACTTGAGAAATAGATTGTGTGGTATAGTTTAGGATGTGTGTTGGAGAATTTTGCTTAGACAGGGCTTGAAGGAAAAAAGGCCATGAAAATATACAGCTGATGGAAAAATAAAAGGCAGCTGTAAGCAGCTAATTCTCAAGCCTGTTTCTCAGAAACGTCTCTGTAAACAGCAAGAGTTCTCAAGTCTGTCTTCAATAACAAGTAAATATTCTGTCCTTGGCTGGTATGGGAAAGCAAAAATAACAAACCACAGGTATTGAAAACAAAAGGAGGGGTTGGTGTTTAATCTGTAGCCAATGATGAGCTCGAGTTTTGCAATATGTATGAACTTAATTAACACCGTTATAAAAATGTGCATGGTTGATCAATAAATTGGAGTTCGATGCTGATCAAAGAATGGGTCGTCTCCCTTCGCTTTCTACAGATGTGCAAATGTGATAGGAAGAAACTGAGGCTTCCTGAGATGCATGTTGAATTAATTGTTTTGTCAGACTGAACACAATCTGTGGGGCTGCAGATTGAAAACTCTGACCTGAGCTTTGTAAGACATTAATTAGCAAAGCCATACCTTTCTTCTGTAGATGTTGAGAAAAAGGAAATAACAAGTAACTTTTCCGGAAAGGACAAGTCAGTGGGAGATGTTAATTTGCTCACGTTATATCCTTGTTTAACAGCTATTGCATCTTTCCTTGTGTGGGCTGTTTAACTTGTCACTGCTAAAAATAGGCACACTGACTGTCCCCAGCAAACAGAACGCAACATGCAGCAAGCCCAAGGGAAATCAGAAGTAGTTGAGATACACCAAATGAAACAGCTGATTACTCATAATGTAAGTCTTTAGGCACTAATGTGGTTGATCCTATTGATACGACTCCAAATAAACAAACAGCTCAGAACTTCCTGATCTTGCTTCTGTCATTTGAAGGAAATTGACATGTTTGGGGCAGGGAAGATACAAATAAAGTAGAATGGTTTGGTAAATTTCCCAGTGAAAAACATCAAAAGATGAAACCTATGTGAAATTTATTAAGAATTTGTGCTTAAAACGCTTCTGCAGTGATTATTAATTTAACAATCTAGAATCAATTTTTCACCAGCACACCAACACTGAAAGTGAAGAGACCTCTTCAAGAGATACATGTTCATAAAAGATTTGTCTGCCCTTAGAAGCTTTCAACTAATTAATTGATAGCTATTCTATGCTGTTAGTGACACAGGTTTTGTACAATCCAAAATTTAACATTTTGTGTTTTGAGCCATATTTTGCTCCCAGAAAAAAAAATAAATCCATTTTGTGCTGTGTTGTTTGGAATGGCTATTGCACATTTATGAGTAGGGATCAGAATTTGAATTATTTCATTACTGCAGCTGTTTCTCTAAATTCATGTTGTAAAACATGCCGTCCTGAGATAGAAGAGCTGAAGCTCCATGCTGGTGTCTCCTGGCAGTAAGGATGTATGACTAATTCAGCAGCATCAGCCACAATTAAGGGATATTTCCTTCATAACTGCCCTCATTACACTCCTTGACAGCTTCTTACGTCCAGAATGTGTCATGCACTTCAGACAGCTGCTGAGAAGTCTGACCTGTTTAGGTCTGTGTATGCCTTGGTCATATAAAAATACTGTGTTGATAACACGGATTAAATTCAACTAAATATATTCTTGGGCTAAATAAGCACTTACTGGATATACAGCCCTACTAGCACTATGCTTTCGAGAAAATTCAGACTGATGAGTCCAAAAACATCCAAGTTGGGCATTCCATTGATCACCATTGCTCAAAGATTGATGAATGGCCCTCCTAGGCAGCTTCGTCACTAACCTGTGACATAGATATCCAGAATCAGTCCTTCAGGCCCTTCACACAGAATTCAAATATCCATTGCATTAAGATGTTCAGTGCTGTGTTTGAAAGCTTATCTATACAGAAAATTACTGCAATTATTTTTTCATAGCACTTGAAACACAATGTCAACTAAAAACTGTTTTCAAGTTTCTGTGGCTTGTTTCCTGTACAACTTATTTCTTCAGGCATCCGTACTTCAGATCTTCCTAGAGTAGCTGGGCTCTTCAAGGTTGCAATTTTCATTTTGTTTGTGTGTCAGTGAGACAGAAGACTGGCATTCCCTCAGATGTATTTTTGCACTTTGCAAGGTTTTTTTTTTTTTTTGTTACTGGACATATAAGTGAGAAAACCTGCCAAGAAAAAAAAAAGAGAAAATGATGAAAATTACATCTGGTATTATATATTTATATTAGCTCTTCTGCGAGTGCACTTTTTGCAGTTCATGGGTAGGCCTTTAGATTCATGCTTTTTGTTTGAACATTCATTTCTTAAATTTATCCACTAATAGAGGAGATAATTTCTGTTATTACTGGGCTTGTTCTTGGCACGGGTTTTGGGTGATGTGTGCTTAGAAACTAAAACAGCATAGACAGGAAAATGTCGAGCATTTAATAGGTGAAGAAGTAAAGCATACAGGCCAA